TTTTTAATGCAACAGAAGGCAAACATCTGGCTTAGCCTTGCAAGTTCATAGGAAACTCTTTGGTGTTATTAAAAGGATGAGTTCAAAGACAAAAAAAACCCTCCAGCTTCGTTAATTATAAAACTGCCAAGACTGAGCGATTATTCCAAGGGGATGTTCAAGATTGCGAAGGCAGAGATGAATGCATGGGAACCCTGCAGCCCCAGATAAAAGGGCCTCAGAAGTCTGTACTCACTGTGTCATCTCCCTCTAGGATAAACAACTCTCCTCCTTCTCACAAAAAAGAGCATACTTTACAGCCCACATTATTGATAAGTCAATTCAAGAGATGTCCTCATAGTGTAATCTACAGGCCACTGACCCTCCATTTCAAACTGTCTATTATCTTCCAGTACAAACAGGCACTGGGCAGCTTTTGTAACTATGCCATACAGAGGAGTAATTACACTAAGCTAAGCTTCCAGACCGCCCGGTGTTATTTGCTAATGTCAAAGCTCTCCTCCTCTTTGATATTGGCAAATTATTCCGCACACATACAAGTGAAGATCTGTGGCAAATGTTCTCTTTGCCTCCATCTTCCTATTACTCTAGCTAACTGCTTCAATAACAGTCCAAACATAACACGGTGTTTTAGGTACATAGGAAGGGAGCAGAATAACTTTGCGCCACTTAAGGGGCACAAAAGAGTAGCACTGCTCCTCTGACTTTCCTAAATGAAGGAGGCTAACTAGCCATCGTTCTCTTTCGTTTAGAGCAGTCGATTCATTCCAAATCCCATAGATACTGGTTGTACAGACCAGGCCCTCATGCAGCCACACTGACTGCTCATTTCATGGTACAAACTGCTCAACTCATTTTCCTCTCATCCAGTCATCTACATGTAGCCTATAGGACCAGACATGTGAGACTCTTGTTTTGGTCACTGACAGCAGCACAAGGGAGCTGATATTCCCGACTGAGAGACATTTTCTACCATGACTACTTATACCAGCAGAACGGGTGAATTCCGCTGCATCTTCTTGAGGATTTTTCTGGTTTTATATCCAACTCAGTGGAAATCCTGCTGTGGTTTCACCCATAATGTTTGCATTCTCCAGTTCATAAAAGACCTGAGATCCTCTGCTGTGGGGCCCCTTTAAACCTGAATATTTGGGGCTCCATCACATTGTTTCAATAAGGAGAAACAGATCATACAAATCATGTACATTTGTGCATGTACACCTCTTTCTGACACAGTACCCAAGTCCTGTTTTCCTGAACATGCTAGGAACAATCAACAGGTAGTTACCTGCAACTTCCAAGCCTGTTGCTTCAGCCAGGCTGGTGCCCCAAGAATCTCTCTCCCTTTGTTCCCTCGCAGGACTATGCTCTTTACTGTTTCTCTGGCTTTCTCCCTCTCTTGCACCTCCCAAGCTTGCCAGACAATTCCTTAGCACTGTGCTTGCAACCAGCAAACCCATCAATCCAATCAGCTTAGCTTCTGGCCTTGCCATGTGTCTTGGTTCTCCTATGTAAAAGAAACTTATGGTAACTGCTAGCACACCCTTCAGCTTTAATTAGATCTGTGGTGGTGAGTCCCAAGTATGTCTCACTCACCCAAGCCCAAAGATATGCTTCAAACTCAGAAATACATCAGCAAAACTGCTCCACACTTATCCCTCACTTCCCACTCTTGAGGCCTTGATCTCTGGCTGACCCAAGAGCAGCCACTGAGGGCAGACACTGAAAGCAGCCTCACCAAAGGACTGCAGACACAGGTAAGAGGAGCATACTCAAGCTCCCTAGTGCCATGACTGCCAGTGTATTGGAGACAAGTCCTAACTGTCTATAGTCAAATACATGCTTGATAAGAAATTTAAAAAAAAAATTCAGCATAACGTTATCAGTTCCCAGTAAGTCTTCTCCCCTACTAGATACCAGCCTTTCCTCAGGAGAGCATCTATGTGCATTCTGTCCCAGAAGACACAACAACACTTGGAAATTAAAAGGAGGAGAGTGTGGATTATTTTCCCTTGCTGCAATATTCTTATTCAAGGCCCTATAAAGAACTACAATTGGAGAGGACAGAATTTGTAACCTTGAGTTTGGCTTTTGCCAAGTCTTAAAAGGAAATGACCCCCCCCAAAAAAGGAAAAACGGGGGAAGGGAGGTAGAACTCCTGTAGCTACTTATTTAAAAATTATTTCCAAATACACCATTTACAAAAGAAACTTTTCATGCAGCAGAATATCTTCACCCAAATGTTTTTTCTTGTACTTTACAATGGAATAATGCTATCATAAAATGACAGAAATAGTGCACTTAAGAGAAGGAAGGATGTAGATGTAACAGACAATATTTGCCATTGGGACAAAGGGGTGAGGTGAATCAGTGAGTACATGTTATAAATGTAACTCTGCAGATGGAATTCTCCAAACCTATTTGCTGAACAGAGCTGCCTATTGCATGTATTAGGAGCTGAAGGGACAAGAAAGGTGATCTACAAATCCCACCCCCCCTTCAAGTCACAACATGAAGGTTAAGTGCTGGATGCTCCCAAAAGAAGAGAAAAGATAAGTAAACATTACTAACCGGCCAAAGTGCCCTTTTCCACTCTTGGAAGCACTTAGCACATAACCTTAAGTACACTAACTTATTTTAAATAACTGCAGATCTTTAAATACTCAAGGAAAATAGAAGAGGGTTGTAAAGAGTGTTCAATGTTATACAAAAAGAAGCTGAGGGGAAAAAAAAAAAGAGACAAAAACGTGGAGTGCTGTCAGATGAGGGAGGTGATGAACTCACAGGACAAACTCCAGTGTTTTATGCAACCTTAGGAGAGAAGAGAAACAATTTAACTCACTTCATTTTCCTGCACTGCTTTTGTTCAGACAGCTGGTTGCCAACATATCACCCCAGAGATCTGGATGTGAAGAGTGAATATTTCAGAAGTGCTCACTGCTGGTTAAACTGTTACAGTGGAGGAAACAGCCAGCGCAGAGACAGGCCATGACTGAATATTCTGGAAAATCCCAGCATCAGTGTATTTTTTATGAGAGAAGCAGTATCCATGAGCAGGAACATATCTACACTGCTCATTTACAATACCAGGTGGTACTGCTAGAACACCATAGTGCTCCAACAATATCATGCCTTGCCCTGGAAGTAGCACACTTTCATACACCCAGCACTGCACTCATGCTACTTAATTCTGCCCCTCAATCAGCAATGTAGCTATGCCACTTTTGGTTTGGGATGTGACACCAGCAGAGCAGTAAACCAGGTTTCATTGCAGTGGCACCTGTTACGTGGGCAAGTCTTACAGCTGCCTTACTTGTCATCGTGCGACACCAGAATCCTGGATGACCCTAGAAGTTTAATTCCCATGCGTCATGGAATCCAAGAGAAAAATCAAACACAGAAGGATTTCTCAATGGAAGAGCTGAGAGGAACTTGCAAGTCTCCCATGTTTTCAAACTCTGTTATGAAGAACTGCTCTCAGACTTGCTCATATTTGCTGAGATGGGAGAGGATGAGGCAGCACTAGAAAATAGATGCAGTTGTTTTGATAGGCATGACTTACCATCTTGCACTGGACAGTCTGGATCAAACAAACCTGGCTGCTGTTTACTGGCACATCTTCATAATGTTTTTGATTTTGGGTTATCTGTCCATATCCAGCTGCTCCAGGATGGGATGACACTGATGAAAAGTTGTGAGAAACTAATAATCAGACAGATATAGGGAGTGGCAAATTTAGGACTGGAGAAAACAATCTTATACATTTTAAAGAAACCAGGCAGCAATTCAGAGTCAAACCAAGGCAGGTGACACTGCAGTAGTGTTGATCCATTACCCACAGATGTCATGTTTGTGAAACAGCAGTGTCCCAAGAAGGAAGTTCAACTATTCCACAAATGGAACATGAGGGTGGAGCGTAAGGAACAGACAGAGGAGGCCTAAGAAAAAGGCAGCAGCTGAGATAATTAAATGGAGCCTAAGGGAGTTAAGTGGCAAACTCTCATCTACTTTTAGTGGGAGCTGGGTACATGACTTCCCCTGACATTTGTGAAAACTCACCCAACATAGAAAATGGGGTTCAATCCATGTTTCAGCTGAAAGTATATCCCGTTAGCTTTGCTTGCTATCTTATGTTTGTATTGTGAGGAGAGTTCTCACCTGTGGGGCAACATTAGGGCTACCCCTAGTCATGTGAGTGATTCAGCCAATGCAGTCCATTTCACAAATCAGAATGGTACAATGAAATAGACGGCAAGGATTAAGAATCATTCGTCATAAACAGAACAAAGATCGTAATTGGTCTCCATTCTTTTCCCATAAGCGACAGAATGAACACGCAAGAAATATTCAGACAAGTGCCTCAGGATGCTCGTCTCTTCTTACAGCAAAACAAAACCAAACTCCTAAAATCAGTCCTTCAGCTTCTCAGGACTAATATGGCCACTGTACAAATGAAGAGAACCCTGGTTTATATGCTCATTTATCCCTTACATTCAACTGCACTTTCTATTTCAACTTCTCCCTTTCCAAATTGATGACCACCGCAGTGTGAATTCTACCCGTTGCATGTTTTCTGAGTACTTTAGGAGCAGGAGTACTTCACCTTCTGGCCCCATGGGCTGGATGAATGGCACAGGACCAGTCCATAGGTCAGATTCAGCATGAAGTCGGTCCGTGGCATCACTCCACAGGTGTAATCCAGTGAGCCAGCTCAACCCTGTGCGCCAGATATGGCTACAAAGTGACTCTGCATGCCAGAATGGCTTTCACGCATCAGATCTGGACACAGATGGACTCTCTCTCACACATCAGATCCAACTGCAGAGCAATCCCAAGTGCTGGCACAATGTAGCACACGGGACTGTTATCTAGCCTGTGGGGTTCCTCACAGGTCCAGACTGCTCTCTGGATCTCACCCAGATGATCAAATTAACTCCTTGGAGATAAAAGGATAGAGATGAATAGTCACTGCCTGGATTAAACTTACTTTGTGCTCTTCAGGAAAAGTAGGGGACACAGTATTTCCCATATTACTTTATTTTATTCGAGGTTCTTTTTCCATATATAAAAATAATTTTAAATTAGTTTACACAGTTCAGTCCTGTCAGCCATCAAAATCTCTATGATAGTGAATGTGGTCATGCATGCGTGCACACACATGCGCGCGCACACGCACACAAACACAGTTATCTCTGCTGCAGAAGCCTACAGTCACTTGAGACAAGGTCCACTGACACAGCTTTACAGACCAGAGATGCAGTTTCAATAGCACAATATTTTCCCAGTGAGAGAGATTTGCTCCACAGAGAAATATAATTTTCTTAGCTTCCACAACTTGTGATTCAGCCTGGAGAAGGAGGGATGTCTGTCCCTCCAGCTCCAAGGGCTAATAGTTTCATAGGTACCTTCTCTTTCACAGACTGATGTCATTTAATTAAACCAGTGTTCAAGTCCACAGACCTTGAAGAAATGTTATTCCTGGTGTGCAAACTGTTTCACTGTCCTTTCACTCTCTTTTTTCAGTTCCTCAATGTGAGCATCTAAGCGATCCAAGATATGTTGAGATCTCAGTTCTTCCTCTTCCAGAAATCTTGCAGCTATTGAGCCAACAGGAGATGAAGGCAGGGGGCACTAAAGAAAGAAATATTAATAAAACTCATGAACAAAAAAATGGAACTCCAGCAAGAGGCTTCTATATGTACAATGTTCTGCCTTAAGACTGTGAGGGAGAAGGCAGTGTAGTTAATTAATATTAATAATGTAACCAAATTTTCACCTCACCATGTTTAGGGGTCCCAGAAAACAAAGGCAGGATCATGAAGGTATTGCATAGCTGTAGTAGATTATGAATTTTAAAATGTCCAAGTAATAGATTATGAACTTTAGAAGCTAAACTGGAACATATATGCAAGAATAGTTACATGACTCTTCAAAGTGGTATTAATTTTAATGTTAATTTTTTTTTTAATTGGTTGACACAGCGGCTCAAAAGTACCGAAGTAACTTAGGAGCGTTAGTTCCACTGAGAAAGTTATGGCTTGTTCTTTAGGCACTTCTAAAAATCCCGTCCCATGCCATGTCCTCCATTGATTAATGCCATACAACAAGGAACCAGGCTGACAACAAGACAGTAAAGGTCTTCTCATCAAAATGTCAAAAATGATAAAGTAGAAGCTGGGCATCCTTTCAAACTGACCCCTGCATTAAAGCCCAATCAGAAGTTTAGCAAAAAAACAAGATTCCAGCAATGGTTTTCATGTTCATACCAGACATTAAGAACAGCATGAAGTACTAGGTATGGAGATAAGTAGCTAGAGGTCCTGACTTTCCAGGTATTTTCATAGCCAATTTCCAACAAAAGTGACAAATCCTTTAACATTTACCAAAAATGAGTAAGGGATCAATTCAGAGCTTTGACACATGTAAACATTTTTCATAAAAGTCCATGGCAGGGGAGATGCAAGTTACAGTTGAGTGGGAAATGACTTTCACATTTCCCTGCTCCATCATTGTACTTTGAGAGTGGGATCCTGACCCTAGCGAAGTCAACCAGAATTTTACTACTGATTTCAGAGAAGCCAGGATTTCACCCCTTGTATCAAATTTCACACTTTCTAGGGAGTACAATAAGTGTTGTATAAAACTACAATCTAGTAGTAGTACAGTGCTTCCCCCCCCCGCAAAATGTCTGGCCAGATTCTCCTGTGCATGTTTCAGCATCACAGGTGTTACCTGTTCCTCCCTGCTGTAGTACAACCTTCTGAAACTGGAAGCAACAACTTATATATTCCAAGACCAGCAGAAGGGAGGGCACTCCTGAGTTGAAACAGCACTTCTAGGATGTCTCTACCTTCTTTTATGTACCATTGTCTCAAAACATAAAAGTCATGTTCCTAAATTCCCATTCAGCTGGGGTTAATGCTACTTTTATTCATCAGCACTTGCTGATAAATTACCACTTATTCTTTCATGTATAAAAAGGAAGCTAGTCCCACCATGCCCTTTGTTTTACAAAATTGCATGCCGCAGAAAATGGGGACACTTGCAAACTACACTTTAAGTTAAGGACAGGAGAGGACTTTCAGAGAAGAAACTGGAAAGTGAAAACATGAAATTGCTGAGGAGCCACTGTCCTTTAGGGAAAAAAAACCTGGCTTGAAATTCTTGGCTAGAGTACACAACTGGTTGTTTCCAATCCAAAGAGTTTCTTGCACTGCAGCAGTAAGATGGAAAATCCTGGGCTTTCACCAAAATGCAGGGCCCAGTCTCATCTATTCAACTTCTAAAAAAATCAGCCAAAGCTCTCCCCTCAGCCCTCCCACTTCTGTTCTGTTAGCCATTGATCTCCGACAAAGTCCCCTTCTCTACTAGTGCTGCCAGCAAGAGATTTAGCAAAACTAGTCTTTTAAGAGCTGTTAAAATAGCGACTAAACATAGGGGGTGAACACCAGCTGTCCCAGTCATGGAAAAAACATTCAAACCAATTTCCTTTCAGAAACCCTGTTTCTTTTCTCCATTCCATACTTTCATCATAGAAAAAAGCTTTTCTTATCTACTAAACATTAAGTCCCAGATCTGAAAAGAGATTTAAGTGGAATTTAGGATTGAAGGCTCAAACTGCAATCCTAAACTACGCCCCCCAGTGAACTACTACCTAACCCTGAATGAACATAAACTCTCTAAATGCCTCAGTTTTATGATATTAAATATCCCAAGTGACTAAAATCCTGTGCGTTCCTAGAAACAGAAGTGCCTCACCTGTGACAGAGCTGAGCAGCTCTGCTCCTATTTGATGCTTAAGTCCCATCAAAATCCCAAACTAGACAGTCTTCTGCCTTTCTCCCCTAAGGGACTCAATCTCTAACTATTGGGCTCTGCACAAAATGCCACATTCTTTCACAATGTGAATAGAGGAGGACAACTCCTCTGATATATTTTGTATTTTACAGAGTTATTAGATACAATGTGCAAACAACCATTGACCAGGGACTTTAACCCCCAACTCTCTCGTTCCTAACCACCAGGCATTGCTCCCTCTGGCTCAAAAATTAAATGTAGTTTGGCAGTTAGGGCAATCTCCTAGAAGGTGGGAGACGATCCAGGGTAGCTCTGCCTGCAAAGTTTCAGTCCCCTGCAGGCAGAGAAAGAAAATTAACATAACACTCTTGGATGAGTGCTCTAACCACAGAATGGCTGGGTAAAAAGATACACAGCACCAGCAACCTTCTTCAAAAGGAAAGGGTGACCTCTGCTCACTTTCTAGGAGACAGAGATTAGGTATGGAGAAGTTTCTGAGCTGTGAAACATAAGTGGAGGGCAGCATTTCCTGGTAGTGCTGCCTAAGGCAACCAGTTCTCAGACGGGAGCAGGATTTCAGACAGACTCCATCCTTAGCTAGCATAGGTAACCCCTCTCAGTATGCCAGCTTCTACAGAGCCCATTCCAAGCGCCTCATACACCAAAGAGAAAAACCAGGCACCTAACTTCAGGCTCCAGAACCCACTACAAGGGCCAGGCACCTAGAAGTTGTGTGTGGCAACCCTTGGCAGTGCAATGCCAAAACCCCTTTTTTTCTGGGTGTAAATATCTGATCCAAGTTACACAAAAGTGACACTGAATATTAAAGTGACGAAAGCAGGTTGCAATAGAGTTGGAGTGCCATTGTAGCCAGGATAGCCCACGAAATACTGGGGAGGCATGGATTTTGTGTGACATCTTTTATTGGATCAACTGTAGAGTTAGGAGAGCTGCTGGACAGGTTTTGGATATTAAGTGCCCATCCTCAGGTCTAAGCTGAGGCACTTGATGGTCAATTTTGAGACGGGTGCCTGATGCCCAAGAGCCTGGGCAACAGCTCTCCCAACTATGCAGCTGGTCCAATAGAGATCAAAAATCCTTACCTCCAAAGCAGGTTGCTCATGTACATTAATGCACAACTCCAATACAAAAGAACAACTGACTGCAGACAGAACCAGCTTATAATAACCTTCTGCGAGAAGCTTTCCATTTTACAGCTGTGAAGAAAGTCTTGTTGCAGAAAGCTGGGGAAAATAATTTTATTTCACACCACAGTTCTTGTTAGAAATTTCACTATACCAGTACTGATCACTTTCTCTGCCCAGGGTATGATTTGCAACTGGCACCCTATACAGTATAGCTAGTCCTGGGTATGACCATATACTACATCCAACTGGAGGGTCTGGTGGCAACATGGTGGGGCTACTCGTGGCAGGGTAGCTCCTATAAAGTACCACAATGTTGCAACCTCCAGAGTAAGGAGAGTATAGGACACCTCAAAACCCTAGCCCCCACTGCCTTGTGAGTAACTCCTCGATTGGAGAAAGGCTAAGCTCGTCACCCTGACAGAAACACGCTCTCGATGAGATGTTGGGCAAGTTAGCAGCAGTTCTTATCTGTTGCTCACTGACAGAAGCTACAGCCATTGAGGCACTGAGGACTCAGTCTGGCCTTTGAATTCTGTTTCAATGGTCTAAAGTGGGATGATAGGTCCAGGGCAGCCTCCACTCCTCAATATGCTGCTTGCCTAGGCATACTCAAAGCATCTTGGTGTGATGGTCACACTCTGTAAGAGCCGATTCATCAGGCACCTGACTAGACCTCTTATGTGTACACCATGATCCAGAGGATTGATGCTTGCTTACACATACTGTATAGTGGTGCTTAGGAGGTAGTCTCTGAAAGCTGGTTACATTTGCCCTGTAGAAAAATAGAGAATCTCATCACTGTCATACAGTTACCAACAGTATGCTGTCACTTACCAAAAGCACAGATTCTCTCTGTCGACTTGAGACTGATTCTCTGGATGCTTCATCAGTAAAATCTTTGTTTACATCTGGCAAAGAATCAGAAGACACAGATTCCAGGGAGCTATTCCTGCTAATCGGGGGGGATTGTCCACCTGCTGAAGCAGAAGCAGTCCCAGTTGCAGCTGACAAATGCTGGGCTTTCAGACCCTGTAGCTCGTCTTTGTGGTGCTGAGAACTCTCGTCAAAGTTGGCCTGCAATTTTCTTGATTCTTCCTTATATTTATGCTGCGGCTCCTGAGGTCCCCTGGAGAGCAGGTTAGAAACCACAACTGTTTGACAGTTTGGCTCTGTTTTAGCAGCAGAACTTATGCAGGAATTTATGCAGAGGCAACCAATTAGTCTCTGGTTTACTGATAGGCTTGGCAGTTCAAACTGGCTGCTATCACTTGTTTTCACAAGACCTCTAGACATATCCAGTCTCCAGGGAATTCACATTCATTTTATTATTATTCTAGACATTTAAATATTACAGTTCATTGCACAGCCTATTACCAGCAAAGGATGGGTCACAGCTACTTGGACCATAGCTAATTCCTCCGCAAACTAGTACAAATAAATTGAGGAGAATGCGTGTTGGACCCGAAGGGTGCTAACTTTTGCCAGGAACTATACAAAAGCAGCCAAGGTCTATGAGCTGGTCTAGCCACAGAAGCAAAAAAGGAAGGGCATCAGTCAGAGGCTGTCTAGCTCTACAGAATAGCAGAGAATAAAATTATTGTCTCACTTAAGGTACAAGAGCAAATACCACAATAGTGTTTAGGCTCACCAACATGTACTGTGTATTAGGGGTAGAAGTTCTTTAAAAAATGTGGCACCGTTAACTCACCAACTTGTCTTCTACTTTCCTTTCTAATGAGAATGTTCTGTTATGGCCAAAAAGTGCACTCACCTGCACTCCACATCCTTGATCTCAATCCTTTTATTTGACATCTGCTGTACAACGTTCTTATCCTTGTCCTCAGAGTCCTGAGTGGAAAGCTCCAGCTTAGCTCTAGCTTCTGCAAGGTCTCTCTGCAGTTGCTGGTTCTCAGACTCTAATGTATTCAGTGCTTTGGCATAGCTTTCTTGGAGGTGTCTTAAGGGGTTATCTTTTGCCTAACATAGGGAGAGATACTGAAATCAAATTCTTCATGCATCTGATATGGATGGAAAAGACCCTGGCATCACTTAATGTTGCCTGTTTTTACTACTTACTCTAATGGCTCCCCAGCTACACAAACCAGCGTGCTTGCACTGGTAGGGCTGGATCTACCACGCACCTTCTAACAGCCCAATAATTTTAATGGGCTTCTCAGATGGTTCTATTGCTGTCCAAGCAAGTTGATTACCCGCTGCAGCAAAGTGGTTAAATACCGAGTCAGAACAGACAGCTCTGAAGTTCTAGAGCTGAGAACCCAGAGAAGAGACTCTACTCCATCCTACAACAACCGCCCACCCACAAAAACACACCCACCCACGCACACACAAGATGATGCTTGCTCAGAAAAAATATCTAGTTTTGAAATGCCACTTCCAATCTTTTCTCTAAGTTTTTAAAGTAAATTAGATAAAATCTCTTGCAGCTTAGCAAGTCTGCCTCAAATAAATAACTTCCAAAGGCAAAAAGAGGGGTTTGTGTGCACAGCTCTAGATAATCCACTTTTTATATCTGATTTTCTTTCCCATTTTTTCCTGATTGGGGTAGGAAATTCCCATTTCTAAACTATTTTTTCCCCTGTATGCCTTTTCTTCATTTTTTCTTCCCTTCCCAAATCTTTCCAAGGCTATGCCAGAACTGCCTGTTCTATTCAGGTTCCTATATTGTAATCATCATGTAAGTATCTGAGCACCTTCCACTCCCCCATTAAGTGACTTTGGGTTTGCTTTCTTTTCTCATGCTCTCTTTACAAGGAGGAATTGTGCATGCAGCTCAAAGTTTGTTTTGGTAGGGCTTTTGTGGGGGAAAATGTGTGTGTGTGTGGGGGGGTGTTGGATGCTCACGCTGTAGTTCTGTATTTATGCTAGGAGAAAAGGGGTGAGATCAGTGGATGCCCTGAGCTCCTGGGGGAGCTCATTCTATAGTTGCAAATCTTGTAGATCAGAATACAAGAAAGGTGTTTCTGACAGACAGCAAGATTCTTTACAATCATGTCCCTGCAACTTTGTGCATTTGAGACGTTTCAGGAAAAAACACTTAAAAAAAACCAAACCAACCCTTTTTCTTCCCACAGTTTTCATTGAAAGAAGTTTTTAAGAAAGTATTTTTAACTAACTCTGTTAAGTTTTCAGCTGCATGCAGCCAGCCTCCTTTCTCCCTCTATGATATTCTCATTCACAAAAAACAGACGTCATTTCTTTCTTCTTGCAGGCACTAAAATCCTCCCCCCCCTTTCAAAGCATCTTCCTTCAAAATGCTGCAGCTATTTCATCTTAGTTTTACTGCTTTTGTTTCCCTGTACAAGTGATGTCTAAGCCAGGCTGAAAAGACGTTTTGTTTTAATAAGTCCCTGCCTTAGTGACTGGTATATTCCACCGTTTATGCTAAACCCCATTTCTCTTTCTCTCTCTCTCTCATTACAAACTACCATCCATAGCAACATCTAGTGGTAGAAGCAAGTAAAATAATTTTCCTGTACATTTCCATGACGTTTCTCAAAGCTATTTCTCTTCCAGGGCTTTGGCCTATTGATTAAACTGAGGGGAAAAAAGTTCCAAACTCCTTCTTACCAGAAACAAAATATATTTTCACCCCAGTTGCTGTAAAAGGCAGAGTAGTTACAGCACTGGAACTTGGTGAGTGAGTGCTGAGATTTATAGCCAGACATTCTTATAGGATAAACATAGTACATATTGTGGTGTGGTACCAGGAGACAAGTGGCAGCCCATGGGTAGGGCACTCAACTGGAGGCTGGAAGACCTGGACTCTAATACCAGTTCTGCCACTAACTTACTTTGTGACTTTGAGCAAACCTCTAACCATCTCAGGGCCCTGCTTTCTTAATATGTATCCGTTTATCAAGCATCTTAATATCACTGTGTGAAAGGTCTTAATAAAAATCACTATTATTATTGTTAATTATTTTACTACATGTCCAGACATCATAGTAGGTTCTTTCTAACCTCTATTGAAATTTCATACCTCTGAGACACCAGACTCCACTTTCTTGAGCATCTCAGAGAGGTGATGGTTTTCTAGCCTCAAGGTTTCTAGCTGAACCAAAATCACCTAAGGAAACAAGATAAACACAACAAACTGATCAAGACCTATACTACTTTCTACATTTTTAGTTCCAATGTCAAACATATCTTATGAAGATATCTTATATGAAACTATATCTTATAAAGCAGGTTCTGGACTGTTGTTCTTGCTGGGGTTTTAATGGAAAGCATACAAGCCATTTTGTATACACAGTCCAGGCCCCACATTCTCAAAGGATCTTACTGTCCAAATCTAAATTAATCCAGGCCACTTCAAACAGCATTGCACAGAGACCAAAACGCGAATCTGGAGGAATTTTACAAGAGGCACTCTAGTTCAGACAGGACTGTGAGAGATCTTCCTCCCTGGTAGTCTTCATTTGTTCTGAAACTCTAGCAGTACACACTTTTCAGCGATAGCACCAGCATTCTGCTGTTAAAAATCTGTCAATTAGAGCTAGAAACTATTACCTTGGGACCGTGTGGAAGAATTTCAGAGTCCACCTAGATAAAAGGGAGGTTTCTAGGAGTCCCCCTTGTCCAATTAAGAAAGTTTTCTGTACCCCCTTCATTCCTCACAGACAGAGACCGTTGTACCAATTTTACCCTGTGCTCCACTGCTTTCCTTTCTGCTCTTTCAATCTCCATCCTCAGCTGCTGCTCCATGTCAGAGGTTGATCCACTGGCAGAGGCAATGACAATGTCACGCTGGTGCAGCTCCTGCGTCAGTTGGGAGATCTCCTTTTTCATCCCTTCTAGCTCACTGTTGTGAGTTTGTTCAATGCGAGACAGTTGCTCCTTCAGCTGGAGAGGGATGGGAACAGGCGACATATGGTTTTTAAAGAAAGATGTTTCAGTGAGGAGACTGATGTGCTAGGCCCATGGGTTGCATGAGACAGAAGCACTGATTGATACAAAGCTCTTACGTAATCCTCCTAGGCACCTCTGAAAATGCACTTCTACCTTGATTTTTAAGGTTGCTCTTCTCATTTTTGGGTTCCATTTCACAAACTACCAGTCAAGACAAGCAGCAAGCTATAAGTATCTACTGTAGAGTGGAAGCCCAACTGTCCCAATGTAGTGAACACTGACAACCCTCAGTTACTCTGTAGGAAACTACAAGTACTTAAGCCTTCTGAAAACCATCTTGTAGATCATTATCTATTGAACACCACATAGGGTACACACCCCAGCATCCATCTCTCTAAGGTGTATTTGGTACTCATCACCATAATATCTGTCTCTCTTAAGTATTTAAAAACCAAAATTAGAACAGTCTCTTTCCTTCCCTCTTACCAGGTGGGACAAAATTAGTTGATTAGATTGCTGCTTAAGTGAATAAGTGCATCTCAGGCACAGTGTCTGCCAAGATATTTTAAGTTAGTGATGGAAATCTGCTTCAAATAAATGAGATTTCCATCATGTTCTCACCAGCGTAATATCCAAGATCACTCATTTGTCATGGGAACAAAGTTCCTAGTCTAGTGTAAGTCCCTGTGGATATTCTGTCTCCCATATAAAAAAGCCTAACCCTAGAGTAAACTTGTTTTCACTCTTCCAAAAGAATGCAGCTGTTGTGGAAACCTCTGGCTGAGAGACCCTTCCCCATCTCAGCAGTATTACTGGGAACTTAATACTCAGAAACCAGAAACTGGGCTTAGCGTACAGGACGAGATGATCATGGCAGACAGATTACTCAGCCTTCATGCCAGATATCAAGACCAAACTCAATCATTCCATGCAAGTCCTAGAATACTTTTAAATCTAAGTCTCCAAAAGCAAATAAGTAGAACATTATGTCACTGGGCCACCTAACCATGACCTCTTCCTCTCAGTTCCTTTCACTTTTATGAACCTGCTGTCATGACCAAGGTCAGAATCCATCCTTGCCCACAGCCTCTGAGGCAGGAATCAAAATATCTCCAGTCTAGATACATACCACACCATATACAGATAAGCCCACAAGGGGTTTAAACTCATGAAGTCTCACACAAATGTTTGGAAAATTACAAAAGGTCTCCCAAATCTGTTTTCCCCAAGTTCTCTCCTTCCCCTACATTCACGGCTACCATTACCCCACAAAGCTCTGTGCCTTCAATCCTTTCTTCACCTTGCTTACAGAAGACACACCACCACAGCTGCTCAGAGGTGTTGTGAATACTGTAGGAAATTCTCTGAGACTGAAGGGCCCTTACCTTTTTCATCTCAGCCTTTGACTGACAGTGCTGTTCTTCCATCTGCCGCAGCTCTTTGAGCCTCTTTGTCAACTCTTCACTCAGTTGTATACATCTTTCATTTGCAGATCCTAGGCTGGGTGCCAGAGACATAAAAACACAAATTAAAATGTCCCCTAGAAACCACAGAGAACGTGGTCAGAAGAACCAGTGTTCATGTTTACACTTCTATCCTATTTCCCACAAGCGTGTAATAACAAAAGGACTGGATTCACTGACCCACAAGGTCTGTTCCAGTCATATATTTCTGCACACCAAAACAATTTTGATAGACAAAGACCACGAGAAAATTTATCTGGGCAGATACAGCCACTTCTCTTTTGCTCACCTAAGCTTAGGTAAGCTTCCTGATAAGCTTAGGATTATCCCTACATAACCACCAGTTGAAAAGTCCTGTTATAGCTTTTATCTAGAGCAAGAAGAATGAGATGTGGCTCCCAAAAGACAGCTGGCTGTAGACTGCAACACAAAGATTTTGCTGATAATTATAAAGGAAAGAAAAAATGTGAAGCAGGCTAAAGAAGTAAACATACCCAAAAGGTTTATTTTACAACAAACACCAACAAAACAGTTCTTCCAACTACCACCAGCAGCATACTTGAGTAAGATTTCAGTTTTATTTCTAAAGGCTGTTTCCAAATAATGCAGGGCCTAGAAAATTCTACTAGCAATTGAGACAATTGGTGAATATGGCTTTTCATGTGCCATGACTCAAGTTCCTCTGAAAATCTGTAACCACTGCCTACCAGCTCTCAAGGCGAGCCATCTCTGACTGCAGGTGCTCTTCATTCTTGTGTGCAAGGTCCAACCGCAGCAGAACACGCTCCAGTTCTGCTCCCTGAGGAGACAGCCGCTTCCCATGCAGGCAGTCTTCCAGGGACCTATTCAGAAACACATGCCTTAGCCTTCTTAACACACAAATTAACTTCACCATCAGGCTTGCTAACACAGGGAACGCTGTATTTTCTCTTTTTACATTCCTAGCTCCATGAAAATCCACCAAAACGACTGCTATGATGCAACATCTCTGGAAGTTCCAGATGTCACAAGTTTACCAGTCTGGTGATAAGCTCATGTTTGAAATCAATCAACGTGCAGACACAATCACTGAAATACAATGAAAGATTACATAGCTGCTCGTTACATTACCAGGACACACTGCTACAGGAAGAACACAGCTGTTATGCAACCTCTGTGTGTCTGCCTATCCCTTCACCATTATGAGAAGCTTATTTCTGGCACTTGCCTCTCGCCATAGCACAAGTAGGAAGTTGCTGGGACTTTTGCCACAATTATCATCTCACTGGGACCCTGATCCTGTACCATTAAAGTACACGGAAACTTTGCTATTGACGTCAATGAGCTACAGGACTGAACCCTGAGAGGACTCCACTGCTCATCTGAAGTGCTTATAAAGAAAAATCAAACACAATGCACTGCCTCAGGAAACCTATCAGACTGAAAAGTCTGACATTTTCTGTATTCTATATTGTTTGGAAGCTGGTTGCTTTTAAGAGGAACATAATTCAACACACACAATCAATGAAAAACACAAAACTTGTGCCATTACTTTATATTTAACAGCATCTCCTGTCATACAAAGCAATCACTAAGGATTCAACATTGAGGTGTATGCAAAGGGCACCCTGATTGTCCCAGTGAACAAATCTAGATCCCTATTCAGCAGTGAAGTGGCTGGCTAGGCATAGATGCCAAGAATACCTGACAAGTTGCTCCTTGGTATGCAAAGTCTCAGTCACCCTGGCCAGTTCCTTCTGTAACTGCTCCTCATGCATTTTGGAGCTGCTAATGAAGTCTTCCTGGGACTGCAGGGTGGCTCTCAACTCTGTCTTCTCCTCTTTTAATACCTGCAAAGAGAGAGATGGGTTGGGCAGAATCATCTTGTTATGACTAGTCTGGAAATGAATCATGTTTTTGGTGTATAAAGAAGCCAGAGACAGGGGGCTAGAGGGCCATCAGGGTATAAAGATGACCTTGACTTTCACCTGGAAACTCACAAAGTCCATAGCAAAGACGGGAGTACTTCTAAAGTGATAATCTTAAGGTCTAGACACTGAATTATCCACTAGTTCCCTTGATGGACAACCCTTTTTGTTACTTCTCATGAACCCTCCTTCCTTACACTTCTCCACTGACCTCCAGCATTTTCTTGGAGCGTCTCAGCTCCTCCTCGACTCTTTGCTCCTCCTCCAGAATCTTCTGATTGGTTTCAGTCAGATCATCCACTCTCATGTTAAGCCTCTCCACCTCCAGCTCATTGGCACAGATGGTGTCATTGGCCCTCTGCAGCTGGCTGGTTAAATGCTGGATTTCTGACTGGCTGGCCAGCTCCACAGATTCCAGCAGCTGCTTCCGGTTGCTGAGCTGAGTCTGCTAACAGTGATTGTTGGTGTGTTAAAACTCTTCATAATGTATGAAGAGAGCGGAATCCAAATCTGGATTCAAAGCTTCTCAAAGACTCTGCCCTGATATTTCTCAGTACAGCAAACAATCTCCTCGAGAAGCAGCAGCACTGCCTTTCAGGGAACAACACAAGGCAGTGATATAAGCCTACAATGCAGATGGGGTTTTTGGAAGCAGAAAGAAGAAAGGCGTTTGGGAGAACCTTGAGATTTCAAAAGGGGTCTGGGAAAAAGACAATCTTTAAAGCAGATCAGACATTCTCAGACAAGCTGAACAGATATCAGAGCAGCCCATTCCCCTGTCCATCAGCCCAAGGGTTAAACCTAGTCAGATGACAAAGCGAAAGTCAGCTGGCAAATTCCATAAACTAGCTAGGATGACCAGTCAACCTGTTAATCCCATACGGGCACATACAGCTACTCCTGACACAGACTGAGAAGGAATCAAATAGAAACTGGAATAACAGCACCAGCCAGTCATGCTCTGCTTCCTGCAGTAACAATCTGGTACTAGAAAGCTTGCAAGAAAAACTCACTTTCTTGAAGGTTTTATTGTTTTAAAGAGAGAGAAAGGAAAAGGAAGAGAGAAATCATAATAAATATATTATTTGTAAAGAACACATTCCCATTTATTTACAGGTACTACACACTGTGTTATAGCGTCTCTCCACCGTCTATTGGAGAACTGATGTAATTTAATAAACTAGCCCTGACATGCATCTGAGAACCTTTACTTTCTAAAAATCTTTTTTTCTTTTAAGTTTTGATGTCATCACTTGCCACGGTTTACTGTCTGGCAGATAGTAGAAGTAAAGAAACCTAGAGGACTAACACATTGTGAAAATTCTACATTTTCGTAACCTCAGCAGTCAAAACACAGACCAGGGTAAAAAGTACAAGGGCTGCAAAAGCTATCCTGTAGCTGTCCAGGAAACCAACAGGATGTCAGAATGACTGAATAAATGGTTGGTTTCAGCAGTAAGAAACAGCCTAAAAGTGAAATGATATATATTTTTTAAAAGCCCATAGCCACATAGTACTCTGGGTACCATGCAGGAAGCCCCATTTCAATTGTGAGTCTTAAGCTTAGCTGGCTGGCAGTGCCCAAGAGAAGCTCTGGGAAGGCAATGCAGAAGTAATCTCTGTAGCTATACTGTGAAATACCACAAAATTGAGCCCCTAATTCAGGATTGTGCAATTGGAGGTACGTGGGCTGCATGAAGCCCTTGAAGGATTAACAAGTGGCCAGCGGGCTCCCAGCACAACCACCACTGCCCATCTCCAGCCGCCTCCCCCCACCCCACACCATTGCTTCTGCTATAGCAACTGGGATCTTGGGGCTCACCCACCCTCTACTTTCTGCCCCTGGGGATTTGTGGGCCAGAGTGCCCATTCTGCACACACAACAAGGGAGGGAGTTGGGCTGCTCATGCTATGCACAACAAAAACAGTAGCAGGGCTGCCCGCACTGCAGGTGGGCCTGTGGCCAGGCGAGGAGGGGGTGCTGCACTTGTGGTAGGGAGGAACAGGGCTGCCTGTGCTGCTGGGAGGGGAGAGGGAAGGAGCAGTACCAGCCATGACAGGAGGGGGGAGCAGGGCTGCCTGTGCCATGCATGTGGTAGGGAGGCAAGTGAAAAAGGGAATGTGCTAGACTGCCCACATGACACAGGAGGGCCTGGAGTGGGGGGAGGAGGGGTGGATGGGTGCCACCAACAGTGAACAGCCCTCAGGCTGCAGCCTGCCTTGTGCACATCCCAGGGCTGTGATCCACATGGCATGTGGCCTCTAGCTGCCCAGAAGTTGGACAGCCCTGCCCCAATTCAGGGACAAGAAGAGGGAAAACTGTTAGTTGAGATCCTGCAGTTCTCAGCTAGCCCCACTTTTCAAAAAAGTCACCGAACAGGCAGAGTGAGAACAAATGTGTAAGACAAACATCTTCCATTACTTTTAATGGCAGATGTGCCTCTAAGCCCCTGAAACTGCTGCAAAAATCCCACCATGACTTCCTGTGTTGTACACTGTGTTTAAAGAGTCCATCTCCAATCTAATACACCGCTCAACATGTCAAGGACATGTGCCTGCTCAGAAGATTGAACTATCAGGGGCAAAAAGACAGTAGCAGGAAGACCTTCTGCTCAAAGGCTCAGTTTGCATCTGAAGATCTGCTAGTCGGCCCCTCACGAAGCTCCCAGTGTCAGCTTCAAACCTGTCACTGAAAACTTCTTCCTTGCAGGAGCTTCCACTCAACAGCAATTCAGGAGCCCATTAAAGTACAAAAGCTCCTAGCAAGCGCTTCTTATCAATGTCTGCTGTGATTGTGTCAGTGTGACTTCACAGCTGGGCTCTGGGTCAGCTCATCTAACCCTGTTACAGCACCACTAACACAGTGAACAGATTGACTTTCCAGGAACCACTCCATTCCACTCTTGCCGTAAGAGCTTCAAACAAGGCTAGAAACTGCTGTTACATTGGTACCTCATGGAAGTGCCTTTTGTCTGAGAAAGCTATTTTCCAGTAGCAGGTTCTGAACAGGGCCTGCATAGCTGCATAGTTGGCTATAGCCAGGTAAGTAGCTTTGAACAAAGTGATATGACACAGCATTTATTTTAAACCATAGCCTGTAACCAATCCCTCTACAAAAACCAGCATCTTATTGTCTTCCTCCTGCTAATCTTTACAAGTGTGCAGAAGCCATGGGGAAGGCTTACCTAACTTCCATATACAGACTTCAGATCTTTTGCTGCTGTAAATACATATATACCATACACCAAGTTAATGCATTAGACTCAAAAGTCATTTCAATGTTAACCTAAACTGGTTTCAAACTCAAGAGAATTTCCCTGGCCTTTGCTCTCCCCCCATCACTGCAAACTAAAAACTTTGATATATTAACTGTACCTGAATGAGCTCGGACTGCTCAGCCAAAGCCTTCCTCTGCGCCTCTAGTGATGCAACCTGCTGTTGGTAAAGCAAACGCTGTTTCTCCCAATCTAGCGACTTCTGACGGAACTCCTGCAAGGACAACAGGGAGAGCACCACCCACACAGCTGACAGGCTCATGCCCCCAACTCTCACTCAGGGCTCCCCTTTTTCGCCCCACCATTGATTCAAGTACCTTCCCTCACAGAGGGAAACTCTGAGCCAGTCACCTGATGATGCACCAACTCAGCAGTACACAACCTCTTAAGCTGTGCCTCTCCCTCCTGAGTTAAAAGCTTAATGTAAATTATCACTATTTGAAATGTTAAGTGCTTACAGATTCATGGCCAGCTTTATAGATTTGCTGTCAGGGAATTAGCAATTCCACTTTCCTTTAACTTTCAAAAAAAGGCTGTTACTGAAATCATTATGGGTGCATCTACAACAGTGCAGCTCAAATTATTGGCCCTGCAGGACAGATGAGTGAGGCAGGACTAGGTCACAGGCCAGATACAGTCCTGCACACTGGGGTTGGGCCGTGCATTGCCCATGTCTGCCGGGATCAGTCCCACATGCCAGAATTGGGGCCTGTGCCAACCTGTGGGGCCAATATAGTACGCAAGATCACACTATCTGGCCCATGATGTTTTCCATGGGTCCACAAATTTGATAGCAGGAAAGTGATACCAACAATCTTGTGCCAAATTTCTGCAAGTAGCGGAGCGCTGGGGGCTGAATCTGGCCTGCGGACCACAGGTTGAGTACACCAGGTCCCCAGTGCTCTCAAGCAGTGCCACTCTGAAACAGACCTGCCCACCCACAGCTGCTGGCCACGCAGAAGAAATCAGAGTGGCTTCACCCCTGTGTTTCTATGTCTGGTGCACAAAAACAGGAGCAAATGGACAGGGTATGTGCCAAACCAGCCCCCACAGAGTGCCAGGGATATGTTTTAGGTGTACTTGTAGAGTGGCATATATGTAGAGTGACATATACAAATGTGCAGGATTCTAACAATACTTGACCCAGCAGTCAGCTGCCTCAGAAGTGTTTTGGATAGGTTTGTTCCAAAGGTCTGAGTGGTGCTGTTGTAAAGGACAGTGTGTGATTGAGTTAAGCATGCTAGCAAAATTAATGACAAGATGGATTTTAAAGTAGTTTAACACCATGTAGAGAGTTTGACCAAAACCCCTTAAAGGTGAAAATCCCATTATACTTGGGCTCTGTCTACAATGCAGGGAGGCTGCTGCCATTCTAACTAGTCACGCTGCTATAGCAGCTGGCCTCCCTGGTGTGGACTCAACTCTGCCAGCAGCAGGAATTTTTCTGCCACCAGGGTTAAATCAGCTTCCCTGAATGACAGAAGCTCTGCTGGCAAAAGCTACCTTCTGCTGCCTGTGCTGTACCCATAGCAGGGAGCTTGCTGGCAAAGCTGCCTTAGCTGTGGGGTGTGATATTTTCATACCTGCTGGTCAATACCACCCTGCTGAAAGAACTTCATAATGTAGACAAGCTCTTGAATGTGTGACAGCCACTTACTATCTTGCCCTTAAAACATCCCTGCCTTTAAATTAGTCCCAAATAAAAATAGAAGCTTTGCATATTTTTGCATTATAATAGCACTTCAAGACCTCAGAGATCAGGCCACAAACCATATTTTTAAGATACATAGTTTCCAACAGTTCTCCCCTGCTCCCAGCACTCTGACACCCCTTTGACAGCTTGCTCCATCTCTTTTATAAAATCTTGAGGGCACATGGCTCACTGAGTCATATCCTGATCAATGCACAGAAGACAACTGACAGGAACACTACAAAAAAGGTACTTTGCCCTGGAAGAGACTGAGAAGAGGTAATGCCAGGGTGGGAAGATTGGGTATCTGGACTCAAAATCCATTATAAAACATGCAGATTGGTCACTGAAGTTGAGGTACTCAATTCAGCCTGTACAAGACCTAGCAACAACTGCTTACTATGCACTTACCTCTATCTTCTTGGTCAGTCTGGTCACTTCAGATTGGTCCTGCGCATGCCCTTGGCTCTTGGCATTCTCCCTTGCTTCTTTCAGCTGTTTCTTCTGCAGCTTTTCATAGCTTCTTTTCAGTCTGGCTAGCTGCAAGGAAGTCAATATAATTCTAACGATCCTGCACGAGGTCACAGTGCAAGAACTTAAAGTTGCTCTGAAGGAAGGGACATAAAGGCCTCTCATACAAACACTTCTTCAATCCAGCAAAATTCAGAGACTGAGCCAGGCTCCTGTGGATACTGAGGCATGGACCTCTACAAGTTAACCTAAAATATACAAGCCTCTCAGCAGCCAAGGCTGCAGCAAGTTCATCAACTTCCATCTGTGGCGAAGCCGTCAGGAGGATCTGGGGCTACCTTGGGCTCTGAGTCTTATACAAACATGAAGTGACAGTCTCCAAAAAGAATTGGGGTCCTCTGAGACTCAAACAGAACTGAAGGGCTTCCCCTTAAAACAGAGTGCAAATAGCTGCTCACCCTGTTATACTGCTTTCTTAGCCACACTATGCCACTTCCCCACTGTCTTGAGAAAGGTAACAAGAAAAGGTCAAGATTTCATGCCACAAACTTTGAATGAAATTAATATTTTGCATTTAAATGACATTTTTGACCAAATATGAATTTTTAATTTACGTTACCCTACATCAGGCTTGTCCAACATATGGCCTGCGGGCCGTCATGTGGCCTGCCAAGCCATGTTCTGTGGCCTGCGGTGCTGCAACGGGAACCCCAGCCCCTCAGCAGCTTCCTAATGGCTGCTGAAGGGCCAAGGAAGGGACAAGGTTCCCACACACACGGCATCAGCTTGAAGTTGCCAATGCGGTGCGACTCCTCCCCTTCCCCCTCATTTCACTGGGTCCCTTCCTTGCCCCACCCCTCCCTTCCTCATTTGCATGCCAGCTCCTCCCCTCCCCCACACTGCAGGGTTTCCGTTCCTAGCCCCGCCCCACCCCTCATTTGCATGCCAGCCCCACCCTGCACTGGTCCCCACCTGGTTCAGGCCACAGTGCAGTGGGCAGGCGCGGGGGACTCGGATGCCAGCGCAGAGGGATGCTGCGGCCAGGCCCGCGGGAGATGCTGCTGCTGCTGTGGCTGTCGGGGCAGGAAGCCAGCGCCACTCCCACCTCCCTGCATACCTCTGGCGCCCGCAGACATCGCACTGGGGGTAGTGAGTCACGGGCCCCAGGGAGGGAGGGACCCCTGCTGCTTGGGCTCGGGCTGCCCCAGGGGAGAGGGAGCAGGGGGGTGTCCCTGCACATCCCACACACCCCTGTAGAGTCGCCACATGTCCCCCTGGCTGCTGAGCCCAGGTGCACAGGTGTGGGAGCATCCTCAAGGCCTTTCAGGCGGCAGGGAGGACACGGCGGAGTCAGGCGGCACCCCTTGACTCCTGCGCCCCCAGGCTGTGGCTGGACTGGACAGGCCGTGCAAGTGCCCACTGGGTAATAAAAAGTTCATGATCTGGCCTCACATTCAAAAAGGTTGGACACCTCTGCCCTATATCTTCCCTCTGAAGGTCTCTTTCCATTAAAAACATGGATGAACTGAACCTCAGATCACTGATGTGGTTAGTGGAAACATTATCCCATATTACAGATGGAGAAAGCAAAGGCCAGGATTATAAATGAAACATGCAAATGAGATCAGGAACTATGCAAACAAGATCAGGAACTGAACCTAGATCTCATGACTCTCAGCCCTGGTATTTAGCCATAAGAGAGACATCCTTTCTTCAAAAGCCCAGTTCAGCAAAGTGCTTAAGCAGAGGCCTTACTGAACACGGATGGACATAAATGACTTCAAGTTAAGCATGTACATGCCCCGAGCTGAAGTAGGGCCAAAATGCTCCCCAGGTACTGAGTTAGCTTTGCAGTACCCTTGTGAATAGAATACTGAATATATAAATGCATTGGTAAGGTCAATAAGCAGTTCAGAGATGGAAGCTTGGACCCAAAGAAAGCTAGTGACAATACTAGGAAGAGAACAACAGACAGGAGAATCTGTCCATATTAAAACACCCAAGCTTTTCAGTCTTGCCCACAGCCTGGCTGCTTTCTAGTCCTTAACATTAATGTACCTCAATCTGCCAGTGTACCTCAGTCTTGCTCAGCAGCACCTCTACTATTCCAGTGGAAACATCTCTTGAACAAAGACTGCTAATCATGCTGAAATATAAGGGGTTTTTTAAATGAGGACATATACTTCTGTGGAGCAAGATGAGACCAATTTTTTTTGTTTTTTTTACGTATGCCCTACCATAAGCAAGAATCAAGCAGTTCTCCAGAGAAGTAAGGCCAACACACTGCTAGCCTTTCATGGTATTTAACTCTAAGTTACTGACACACTGGGGAAGCATAAGGAAACAGCAAAGGTCCAAATGTGAAATGCTGTCCTACCACCTGCAGGAAATCCCAGCATCTGCTGCATTACTGTGGGTAAGATGACTTCTGTGGGACAGAAAGTCTGGAATTCCTTTTAAGAGTCTCTGTCAAGTAAACTTAGTATTTAGGAAGTAAATTAACATACACAGAAGAGCAAAATCTCTTCAGTAAAGCTAAGCACAGAAAGAGTCTTGCGCTAGTCCTTCTTGTGGTTTTGGAGGCACAACAAGCAGGAGTGGGGTCAGACTCTCTGCCCAGCCAGCAACTAGAAAGTCTGAGATCTGGATACCTGCCTTTGCTAAAAAGGATCGTGATCACCAACGGAGTCCACAGTGGCCACTCAAGAAGCAGCAGAATAATGTTATTTGGTCCTGCCAAACTCAGCCAATGACAAGGTAAAATGGCCAGCACCACACTGGCACTGCCTTAGCTAAGTCTCAGGATAGACATACCAAGATTCACTAGAAAAAAGGGTTCTCGTCCCACTGAAAAATAACCCAGCATCTTTCATGGCCTGATAAACTTGAGTTCTGTGCAACTGGCTTAAAAGTGGTTAAAGCAACATCTTTTGTCAAAAAAAGAAAAGATGATAAAAAAAAAAATCTTACTCAAAACAAAGCGTATATTCTGAAAAGGGGGAAGTGCCTGAGACTCCTGCAATATATTATTGCTACTGCATTTATAAAGAAGATGTTCCAGTGCTAGGATGATCGCTAGCAACATAAGACGAAGAGATGGAGAAAGGACTTTGCAGGAGGCCTTAAAGTATATTCTTTCTTATTTACAAGGAGGTAAACATGTCTATGGCAATTTTCAGAACGAGAAAGATGGTGTCCTTGGATCCAAGTTATATCTCGCTGTTCTGAGCGCACAAAATGGTGCACTATACTAGTTGGTGGGTGGCTGCTACCTTCCTGTGGATGTACTTGATTGTGGATGTGCATTTTTATGCTCTACCATGATTCATCTCATTTATTTCACATGAAGAAGGCCAGCTGCACAGTCATGCTTTTTTAATTTCATGATATGCTAGGGAAATGATGTTGTTGCCTGTACCCATAGCAACATAAGCACACACATTGTGATAGCTGGGGTGGGAGAAGACAGGAAATATTTGCTGTCAACTTCTGCAGATGTTTAACATATATGAAAATAGCAAAAAGTCTTTACAGCACGCAATTCTACTTCTACAGCAGTTTTAAGCCCTTAAATCCTCTGGAATGTAATCAAGCATATGACACAGGTTCTGTGTTTCTGTCTCTAATCTATTTTCTTTTCTGGCACACGGCAGAGGCTGTAAGATTAAAAAAAAGAATGAAAAGAAGCAAAATTAAAAAAACAAAAGTAACAAAATAGTTAATCTGCCAGATAACATTTTTCTGCAACCCACCTCCTCTTGAAATGTCTTCAACTGTTGTTCATACTCAACAGCCATGTCCTGCTTAGCCTTCTCCATGCCTTCCAACTGCTGGCACAACATCCCAACCTAAAAAAATAATTTAACCACTCAGTAACTGTTAGCACAGTAAGTAGCAGGCTTTAACACATCTGATTGTATCACTGCTAGACACCAAAACTGAAGAATTCCTCTACGTGGGACATATAAGTGGTAGCAACTATGAGCATTAAGGGCCTGATCCTACAAAACCTTCTACACTGTGGACACTCCTACCAACTAGAGGGGTAACTCACCACAAAGAAAGTTAAACACGTGCTTAAATCTTTGCAGAATTTGGGTCTAAATTTGCCCAACTGTGTCAATTCCAGACCCTACTTTTCAGCTGTTCGCAATTTTCTGAGATGTCCACCTTTTAGACAGAAATTAAGCTGGGCAAGTTACAATCAAAAGGCAATATTTTTCTATGTTATTTGATCAGAAACTGTTCACAAGATACGTATTAAAATCAAGCTTTCATTGACAAAGATAGTCATGTTCTTATCTCATTCCCTTCAGGTGAAGAAGAAAGCCTCCAAATTACATGCGCAGGTAGAAAAGAATCCAAGTAAATAAGACTTTGAATCTTCTGAATGGAAGACTGTCCTTATGTTATATATATTTTTTTAAAACCCCAAACAACAATTCTCAGCTCATTTTCATTTGTGCACCTTCCCTGGGTTCTGGGGCAGCAACCTGTTCAATTGCCTGTCTTTGAAGCATCCAGCTGATATTTAAGCAGCATAAAACAAAAACTATGTAACAAGTCAGAGGAAGGCAGAGAGGGAAAGATGATGAATAAACAGTCCTAGAGCATGAACAGTAGAGTGTCCGTCCTGCAATGATCTTAACCGCAGCTTATGCTATTGCTTTGAGGTACATTATAAATATAACCTACCTGAATCTCTATTTTCTCCTGCTCATTTTTATTTTAAGCTGGACTGCATAACAGTTCTAACAGTAAGTATATACATACTTGTTTATTTTGAGGACCACAGAAACAGCAGCTGTTTCTTGGGTAATAAAGGCATACAGAAACACAAGCATCATCAATGGCTTTTGTGATAAAAGTGAGAATTCCAGTCCAAAAGGAGTTAGAACTTGAATGTCCTCCATGCCTCCTTCAACTGCTGCCAAAATACTATTTGTGGCAAGGGCAGTGTGCTGACAAATGTACATGACAAAAGGAGATGCGCAATCAGAGGCAAGATTGTTTAAATGAAGGCATTATCGTTGAGCATCAGAGGATGTGGACACATAAATTATACCACGCTGAAAGGGTCCGTCGTTGTTAGTTGATCCATAAGAACTGTTTCATGTTTCTTCTCTCTTTCACAGCAAGTGGAGACTAAACTGAAGTAATTTAAAATTTGCTTAGTTCAGAGGTGAACTGCCCCGGTTCAGTTTTCACTTGCTTTGGGACAAGAGCAGACACAGGAAGCAATTACCATGGATCAACTAACATATGGTAATTTCCCCAGACATGCACCTTTTAAGTCAGTATAAACTGTTTGTCCACACCTCAGAGAGAGGTCCACAGCACACCACATTCCTCTTGACCTCCTAGTATCCAAGAGAAACGTAACACTTCAGTTTACAGGAGGCAAAGTTTATTACAAACAACCCACAGAAGACGTTCCTATATTGATGCAACAGTTTATCACGTGTATTTTTGAAACACCAGAAAATCAGCCCTATGGCTCATCTACACAAAATAATCGCCTCAGAAATTCTCAGCAAGAGCCTAGTGCAGTTTAGCAAATCCCATTCTCACTTTCCAAGTAATGACATGCATTCAGGATGCTTACCGCTTGTCTGTCACCAGCTATTATTTCTGTGTTCTCCACAGCTGCTTTGAGAGTCCAGTCTGTGATTTCAGCACCCAGCTATCACCAAGTTACTTTAGGAGTTGGGTACGTCACTGCCATAGGTACCTCTGGAAATCCCAGCCCAGTAGTGCAAAACAGGCCACAGCCTTTCCTTGGCATAGGGCTAAAACACCAGTGCTTGTGTTTTTACATTTTTAATTAACATTTTCTTTGCCTAATCTCTACTCTTTAATCAATAAAACACTAGCAAGGAAAAACAGATGCTTTGAGCAGAACAGTGACCAAAATGGAAAGTGCCAAGTCTACGAACACTGAAAATTTATGTTTCCAGATGGAAGGACAGAGTTTCTGGATACAGAACAGAGTAAATCTGTGACAGTACCTCTTTGTGCTTTTCATTCAACAATGCTCTAGTGGAAGAAAGCTCCTGATCTCGGACCTCCAAGCAAGCCTCTAGGGCCTGAGCCTGTCCTTCCCACTCAGATTTCTTGCGAGCCACCATGATGTCAATCTGCTTCATCAGCTCATGCAGCTCAGCCTCGCAGGATGTCAAGAATCCTCTGCTGACAGGTGGACAACTTGTTAAGAGCAGGGAATGGACAGTACAGATACTGAACTCAGCAACAAGCGTATGGTTTCCCTGCATTCCCATACCCACCTCACCCCTTGGCACCTCCACCGTTACAAGCAAACTCTCTAGAGCCAGCAGTTAGGGTTTTATTCAAGTATAAAGCTTTCCTTATCAACCCCCCCACAAAGAAAATTCTTTAACATTTTAGAAACTAACCAGACAGACTAGTTTAGCTCAACATGACTCAGGAATTCTTTACCTACATGGTGAACCTGCAGGGTCAATTTAGCAAATATAATCTTGTACTCATACTAGACTGAACTAACATCAATGCATGAGCGACCAGAATCTCAGCTGATGTAAGCCAGCCTAACACCACAGAAGTCAATCGAGCAAACTGATTTACATTAGCTAAATAGCCAACCTTAAGCATACATGTAGCACTCAGCATTCTGAAATAAAATAGCTTAGCTGTTTTAGGCCTTTTTCACCTCTTCACCCCAAGAAGTGAATTACTACCCTCAGAGATGGGATTTTTTCAGAAGCACTCCACCCTAGCCCAACATGTGTCCTGTTAAAGTCAATGAGAGTTTTGTCACCACCTTCCATGAGCACAGTTATGCCAAACCCAAGCACTTTCGAAAACCTCAACCTGAACAAATAACCTTAATTATATACACTAAAACAGTGTTTCTCAACCAATGGGACGTGTCCCACTGGTAGGAGTTGAAGGTTGTGTAGGTGGAACTTCAACTCATTGCCCAATTGAAAAAAAAAATTGTTTGCACTTCAAGTAGATGAATTAACAGATATCTTGAACAACGCAATTTTGTTGGGTTTTATTTTTCATTATGGTGGGACCAAGGTTTCTGACAAAATGGTTGGTAGGACATAAGGTGCAAAAGGTTGAGAACCGCTGCACAAAAAGACAAAACTCAATTTATTAAATAGGAGCATAAAAACATCTATAAAATACTAAACTCTGCAATTTGGCACTGGAATAATGCACAATAAGCTAAACAGGTTTCTCTTATTTTATATTTTAAAAAAATATTGCCCCAAAGCAGAGACTTTTTATACCAAGTTTGAGTCACAAGAGAAATCTTACAGCTAAGTTATCAGCTCCTGAAAATAGAGGTTTATCACATAAATGCTGACAAACCGCTAAGTAGAACAGGTTGGGTGACACCACAATAATGAAGAATAAAACATCTGCAATCTACTAGAGAGAGTCTGCTCCCTAGAGAATCTGGGATTGCGAATTTGGTACAGTAATCAGTGAAGCCAATTCAACTAACTTCTCTGAAACTTCACAAGTTGCTCAGCTAGGGACACTATTAAGTATTGCAAGATACAGCCCAAGAGAGCAGTGAACTCCATGCTGATCTTTACCCCTTTAATTTGCCTGTCAAACAGGAAGGACTGAAAAGAAATGGAAATCAATAGGTTAAAGGATTGAAATTTCTCTGTTTCCCTGGAGTGGCTGCACACTTCACAACTTGACAGTTTTTCTATAGGGAAAGAAAATACGTTCTTAAAGGAGCCGACCTCACTATTAAATTTGATGCTCACCCTGTCCTGCAGAGTGACCAAAAATTAAGCAGGAACTATGGCAAGTACATTTGTTTTGTTTGCAGGAACTGTATAATAAGATTCATGTTCAGGTTCTGAAGCTAGTTATGCAAGGAAGAGGTGGTATTTGCCATCTTTCAGGATTGGGCAATTTCTGAAAAGGGATTACCAAAAGGGTCTCACACACAGATTGAATACAAGTGGAAGAGTGACTTCCAGCTCAAATTTCCTCAATTACTACGTAAAATTCTGCTTTTTCTTCCTTTTTTTGAATTGTAGATTCAGCCTAGCCTCTCAAAGCCATATGTATTTTAGCCTGACTCTAGCATTAAAGATTCTGTAGCTTGAAGACATTTAACAGTTCTGCTGATAACACGCAAGCCAAAAAAGGAATACAGCTTGCACTCTTGCTGCTGGATGGTCCCTACAATGCCAGCAGAAGCAAGAAGCAGGAAGACTTATTTCAGCTAGGAAAGCAAACAGATTGGAGCAGATCTTCAGAGCGGAACCATGCTGCTTTTATGTATTTCACTACAACGGCACTTAGTGTCAAAAGAGCTTGTAAGAAGGCTGTAAATATAACAGGGAGTGACAATTATTCAGAAAGCTGAAAGTACAGATATGCCAACTATTAAAAGTTGGAAGACTGGTAGCCAGAGACTTCTGGAAAAGCAATTCACTACAGCTCTGCTCCTGCTCTTGCTCCAAGAAGGAAAAAAAATCAGCGGCACAATATATCAAGCCCCACTAACTACATCCTGAAGGCTTTACTCAAGCATAAAATCTTGCGTAGATAAAGGTTTGGCTGACTAAGAAAAGAACTGAAGGACTACAGCATTTGAACTTAAACTAATACAGGTGTTTTTTTAGTTAAGAGGAGACTATTGCAAACAGCTGCATACGTACCTGCCACGTCCTTGCTTTTGCATTCCCTCCAGCAAAGCCTCCATCACAAACGTGGTCCTCTATAGCAGCTAGAAAAGCAAGCTAAGTGGAGGTCAGGCTGCAGCACTTGATAACACGCTCTCCAGTGGGCTGTAGAAGTCTGGAGTAGGGAGAAGAAGGTGAAAAATTACACAATTTACAGGGTATGTGTAGGAAGGGGCCAAAAAGTTGCAGAGTCTTCTTCAAGAGACCTGCAGGCCAAATGTTGCCCAGAGATATAAAAAAAAAAGAAATATCAGTCAGAACAAGAAAATCAGGACTTAGCTTAGCTGATGCAATAACGTGATCCAGCAAACACAACGATTCAAACAGTGGATGTGAAATATGTAGTCAGACTGTGAACTTTAGTGAGCTGGTTAATTCAATGGGTCAGGCCATGCTGGGGTTGGGAGGATTTTCATCCTCAAGAGTGTAGGACAGTGCAGAACAGTAAAGAGACACAGAAACTTCTGGACTAGAACAGCCCCAGCTTCCATCTTGTTTGGGACAGAGGCCAGCACAAGCTGCTTACAACAAAAACATAAGAACCCTGCAATAAGAAATTGTGGGATAATTTGTACTTGCACTAAAAAATATCCAGCTCCACTTTCCCTAAGCTCCTTGATATTCTATTGCCTGAGGTAAGTGCCTCTCTCTTGCCAGTTCCACACACCAGCCAGGTGGCCTGATTTGGTTTGGACAATTCTAGATAGAATAACACTGGTCAACATCCCAGGACCGTTGGTTGTTCCTGCCTGAGGTTGGTTAATCTATTAATGGATGCTAACCGTGAATGCTCATAAGCATGGAAGCAGAGAGCCAACTGCTCCTTTTCTCCTGTCTCCAGGTGTGAAGTGGAGAAAGAGGTAGAGAAAGCAACCAAGAGCACTCTCTCTAGACTCCCACCCGTGAAGGCAATCTAATGGCAATACCAACTCCCCTCCCTGATAATTAAAGTTGCAGTGGAGAGGGCTGGTCTGTCACTCTGAGGAATGGGGAAAGGAAGAAATGAGCCCTAAAAGGAAAGAACACCGAAGACTGGAAAAAGAAGAAACTAAGGTATCTCCAGAAGAGAAAATTCATGCTCCCCTGTAGGTGGGGGGAGAGACAGAGACCCTCTAAAGTCACCAAAGAATAGGGTATTTTGTACTTACTTGTACTACAGGCCATTTGTCAGAGGCCACACAAGAGGAACCCTTCAGGAAAATAGCTAAGGGCAGAATGGTTCTGTTGTACAGGGAAGTTGTGCTGTCTCCAATGATATAAGATGCTTCTCCAAATGCCAAACCTTTCACTGTTCTCTCATCACTAGTTCTTGCAGATATCTTTGCAATGCCAGACTGGCACCTGGGAAAGATCATGCAGCAGTATCAATTTTCAGCCCCTTACAAGTAAACCAGACAGACTCAATAAGCACCAGTTCACTTCTGAGCTTTTCTTTCCTTGACACTTTTCCTCAGACATGAGCAGCCACATCAACATGACACCAACATTGGGTATGCTCCAACCTAGCCAATGCTCTGGCAGCTACATTGATAGCAAAAGCCATGCTGAAGTAAGTGCCACATCTGACAAGAGGTAACTGGAGTGCTGGAAAAACCCTGATGAATATCAAGGGAGATACTGGTAAAAATGGGAGTATCTAGATGGGTACAAATGCCTTGGGAGAGGACTGCTTGGTGGGACTCTTGGCTTAAAAATGACTGAGGCTGCTGGCAGTGGTAAACAGACTGAGTCTTCAGCTATAAATGTAAACATATATTAATAAGACAGGCAGGGACATGCTTGGGTCCCAAGGATTTCTGTCAAATTAAGATCTCAAAGTATAACCTTCACACCAATTTAAAGATTGGACTTAACTATTGTGTGGTCTATATGTCAAATAGTGCATCTCTTGCCAATGTACTCCAGGGAATTCTTCACTGGACTTTAGTAGCCAGCAAGGAAAGGGTTAAAGTAAGCACACTTTTAAGAACAATATCTTCTCTTCCGAGCAAAGGCCTACATCACTGTTCCTACAACCTGACAGATAAAGCACTATTCTTGATGGCTTATTTGCTCTAAAAGGTCATAGCCAACACCAAAACCATTTGTTTGACTGCCTTCATCATGTTTTCAGTTTGAATCTGCCTTTAGCCAAACACAGCCCCTCAACCTCAGAACAGCTGAATTATGAAGAACAGCAGAAGCATCACCCAGTAGGTCTTAAAACTCAGTTGCTCTATCACCATACATTATACTGGAAGTCAGTATGGTCATTTCCTTCTAATCCTTGAAGGATCCAGTCACATTGATACCTTCCAAAGGGCTTTAACTTAGGAGTTACAAGTGTCAATAAATACTCCGTAAATAAGGGATTTTTTAATATGTAAGTTTAAAGACACTTGTATTCTTGAGCCCACAACTTCCCCAAGCAATCCTATCCCCCCTTTCACCTGGACAAAGCAGGACTTCTACATACATCTTCTTACCCACCCTCAAACCTTGCAGAAGTGTTACTAATGAGATGATAACTCGGATCATGGGGGGAGCTGGACCCAAAGATCTCATGAGGTCCCTTCCAGCCCTAAACTTCTGTGAATTAATCCCACCCATACCCCGCTTAGCTAGAGTCTCAAATCATCATTCACCCAGCTTCCTTACAGAAACCAGTCAGCTCAGTGGTCAGGCTTCCAGACTACTTTGCCTTTTACGATCAGGTCACAAAGGCCATGGATGCAGGTGTCGCGGTGGACGTAGTCTTTCTGGACTTCAGCAAGGCCTTTGACACCGTCTCTCACCCCATCCTA